GGTTGAGAAGTTAGAGGGTTGACATGTTGTGGGGTTGTTAACCAATGTTATAAAACAATATATGTACTACTGTTTCATGAGAAATTATTTGTTCTGTAAGCCTTCACCTGAAGTACAATAAAAAAATAAATAAATAAAATAAAAAAAATTACAAAGCCTACAAAGAAGCAGGGAAGTATGGCCCATGCACAGGAGAAAAGGAATTTGATAAAAGTCATCTGTGAGGAAGCCAAGACATTGGGATTACTAGTCAAAGACATTAAATCCACTGTCTTAAATTTGCTAAAAGAGTTAAAACAATGAACAAAGAACTAAAGGAAATTAGGAAAACAAGTGCATGAACAAAGTAAGAATATCAGTGAAAAGACGTAAATTATAACAAGGAACCAAACAGAAATTCTGGAGCTCCAAATTGCAACTGGTCACAACTGGACCATAAGCAACATCATGACAAACAGAGAAAACGGCGAAGTCGTCAAGGGTTTCGTTTTACTTGGATCCACAATCAATGCCCTTGGAAGCAGCAGTCAGGAAATCAAAAGACGCCTTGCACTGGGCAAACCTGCCGCAAAAGACCTCTTTAAAGTGTTAAAAAGCAAAGATGTCACCTTGAAGACCAAGGTGCGCCTGACCCAAGCCGTGGTGTTTTCAATTGCCTCACATGCATGCAAAAGCTGGACAATGAATAAGACCCAAGAAGAATTAATGCCTTTAAAATATGGTGTTGGCAAAGAATATTGACTATACCACGGACTGCCAGGAGAACGAACAAATCTGTCTTGGAAGAAGTACAGCCAGAATGTTCCTCAGAAACAAGGATGGTGATGCTTCTTCTCACATACTTTGGACATGTTATCAGGAGAGACCAGTCCCTGGAGAAGGACATCATGCTTGGCAAAGCAGAGGGTCAGCGAAAAAGAGGAAGACCGTCAATGAGATGGATTGACACTGTGGCTGCAACAATGAGCTCAAGCATAACGAGGATTGTGAGGAGGGCACAGGACCGCGCAGTGTCTCGTTCTGTTATACGTGGGTCGCTGTGGGTCAGAACTGACTCCACGGCCCCTAACAACAACGCACTGTGGTTACAGCCCCACCTGGGAACGGGTTTCCTTCTCTTCTGAGATGTGAAAGAGCAGATTAAACAAGCAAAGCACAAACAGAGACACGTAATCACCAAGGCAGGCAAGCACAGAAGCTGAAAAGAGACGAGGACATCCCCGCAGAGCAAACAAAGGGAGAGCCTTCTACTAGAGCCACTTCCCTGAATTCCAACTTCTAGTCTCCTAAACTGCGAGAAAATAAATTCCCGTTTCTTAAACCATCCACTTGTGGTATTTCTGTTACAGCAGCACGAGCTGACTTAGAGAGTGTATTTTACCCCAGTAATAGATAAACAAAACAAAGTGTGAACCTGGGCCTGGCAGACTCCAGCTCTAACGCCCAGTTTACAGGAAACACAGGGAGAGTGGGACAGGCGGATGAGACGAGAGAGCAGAGTGCCCAGCACCCTGGACACTGTGCCGGACAGACGGCCCACCTCTGTCAACTACAGGCTGAACAATAAATAAGAGAACAGGAGCCATTTAACATCAGAAGAGACGAGGAGGTACACCCCAACACCAGATGGGGACCTTGCTGGGATCTGAATTCACACAAACCAACTATGAAAAGGCGTTTTAAAGACATCTGAGAACATGTGAATGTGGCAAAAACTGTTCACGACTACTGAACCCAGTGGCGGATACTTCCGGGCTCAGTACACTAGCCTTTTTACGTATGCCTGAAAACTTCCAGGATAAAGAGTAAAAGAATCAAATAAAGCCATCACTAAGATAGAAGTGATGTGGGGCCCCCACCGCCCTCACCCTGCAGGGCCCCCACCGCCCTCGCACTGCAGGGCCCCCACCGCCCTCGCCCTGATGCAGTGCCCACCTCGTCCTCCGCTCCAGCTCCTCCTCCAAGGCCTGCAGCCGTTTCTCCCTCTGGCGGAGCTCGCAGGCGTAGCTGAAGTCGTCGTTGGCCTCTTCCTGTCTAGCCGCCAGGCGCCGCTGCACAACACACACGGCACGTGTGACCCAGGCCCCCGAGACACCACACGTCCGTCTGGGGCCGCAGACGCCGCGGGGCCCACCCACCTCCTGGTCTCGCACAAACTGTTCTTTCAGCCTCTGAAACTGTTCTCGCTTCCGGGCATCCAAGGCCGCGCGCTCGGACACCTGCCGGTCTGCAGTGGGGAGAGGGGCTCAGCTGCAGGAGGCCCCCGAGGCAGAGCCCCGGCTGCAGGGGGAATGGCTGAGGCAAGCTTACCGCTCAGGGCGCTCAGAACCCTGGACGCTGCCTCTCGGGCGTGGACGATCAGCTCTTGTTTTGCGATTTCCACACGTAGTTCCTGAAAAAGACATCGTCAGTAAACCGCCACCCCAACTCCCTGTCCCCACCTGGGACACCCTGCTTGGACTCAGAGAGGGCAGAAAGGATGGGCGCCCGAGGCCGTTTCCTCCAGGAGACACCGGCTCAGCGGGCCCTGAGGGGGGACATGAGGGGCACATGGCACTAGGCACCACGGCCTCTGTCTGGGCAGTGAGGGGCTGTGTCTCTTGGGAGCTGCTGGAGTCACACTCTGGTACAGCATGGAAGTGGACGGGCCCGCGAGCGTGTTCCTCGGGGGGACAGGGCGTAGGGTGAGGGGGAGAGAGGGGCGGTGGGGGGTGGAGGAGGAGGAAGGGGCGCAGGGGCATGGGCCCCCCCCCCGAGACTGGAAGGCTAGCTCAGGAAGCAGGGACAGACTAGCCCCCCCACCCCCAGCCTACCCCCCTCAGCGTGGGCCTCTCAGGTCTGCTCACACGGGCCCCTCAGCCACAGGTACTTCCCAGGGTTTTCAGTGGTCAACTCACCACCAGACCCCTGACCCAAACACACAGGGTCTACCGCCGGCCCTGCCCCCACGCCCACCCTGTGGCTCTGCACACCCTGCCCCCCCACCCCCATCTTTCCTACCCATCCCTTCTGAGCATGAGGAGAGTTTGCACAGCCACCTGCTTGGCCAGGACTCAGGGTCCCGTCCATGCTGGCAGAGCCCACACCTGAGGAGGAGCCCCAACCCCAGACACCCCGCATCTGCACCGTCACCTTCTCCTCCTTGCTGACTGAGCTGTAGCGTGCCACCCTTTCCATCCGCCCCACGTACACGGCACAGTCCTTCTCAATCTCCTTCAGCTCCTCCAGGGAGAAGATCACCGAGATCCGAGGAACGGGGACGTCAGACCAGCACAGGTAATGCTGCCAGGACAAGAGCCTGGTGAGCCTCAGGCAGATGGCTGGGGGCTCAGGGACACGCACTGTCCAAGACGCAGGACTCTCCTGGGCTCGGTGCCCCCAGGTCTCTGCACCCCAGCACTCCACGGTGGGAGGCCACCCATGCATCCTGAGCAAATGCAGCACATACGCAGCACTGCTGCCGCCCTTCCCGACCACAGAGAAGAGGCCGCCGCCCACCCACCCCGGACCGCGGAGAGGAGGCTGCTGGCCAGTGCTTGCTGGAGCCTCATAGTAAGAAGCTGGGGGGCCACGTCACCCTTGACCACACATGGCCAGCACACACGGTACCCCCTTCGCACACCCACACTCGAGTTCCACAGCTGGGGAGAGGGGCACACATGTCCATACACACACCCCCATGCACCCACGTGCACACACACACCGGCACACACAGACGCATACGTGCATGGACACGTGCATTTGCACACACGCACGTTCACACACACACACAAACGTGCACGCATTCTTACAAATACATACACGTACATGTATGCACTCACACACATGCACCACGCCCACACGTTTACGCACACTCGTGTACACGCGTGCTAACACACGCACTCGGGCACACAGTGCACATGCATTCTTACAAATACACACGTACATGTATGCACTCACGCACATGCACCACACCCACACGTTTACGCCATTCGTGTACATGCATGCTAACACGCACTTGAGCACACACATGTGCACACGCATTCTTACAAACATGCACACACGTGCTTACGCGCACGCAGGCACACACACGTACTGACAGCCAGCACTGGCCCTTACCTGGGGGCAGCAGAGCTTCAGCAGGTTGATGGTCTTCCCACAGACGTACACATCATTGGCAATGTGCCTTAAGAACACAGGGACGCAGTCCTCCACTTCTTCAGAAATCAGCACGTAGCCGTGGGTCCAGTAAAACTTATCTAGCACGGGACAAATGGGTGGCACACGTGGGTGGTGGGCCCTAAGCCTGGGCCCACAGGTGTGGGGCTCCCCCCAGCAGCAGCCGCACACCCACCTCTGAAGCTGAGGTAGTCGTGGTTCACCTGGATCATGAACTCGCCATAGACGTCCCGGAAGAGCCCGCTGTACACCCAGTCGTGGATAAACCTGCGGGCAGCGGGCGGGTACTCGGCTGCACGCACCCACCCGTGCCCACGGCTGCCCTGGTTCCCCTCTCGTCAGCACACGCTGCCGCTCCTGACCCCTCAAAATCTCTGACTACGTGAGTCAACAGGGACCAGCCACCCTGGCTTGCCTTGGCCCCAGCGGTTCTCAAGCTCAAGTCTGCCTTACTGAAGGCAGCTCGCTCTAAAATAAGAAGAGAGAAGTCTGTCGGCTTCGCACTGGAAGCATTTAAAGACAAAGTGAGCTCATCCCAGCGACACCAGTACCCAGCGGCCGTGGGCCGCCACCCCCATGCCCAGGGAAACACGGACTGCATGAATGAGAGGTGAGAGACACGAGGGAGCCTGGGGCAGCCCCACTGGGATATCTCCCCGGGACAGCAACCAGTCTGCATCTCTGCTTGGGTGTTAGTCTTCATAAAACAAAGCAGGCAAAGAAAAAAATCCCCACCTTGCTAATTCCAGGAGCCCTGGTGGCGCAGTGGTTAAGAGGTACGGCTGCTAACCAAAAGGTCAGCAGTTCGAATCCACCAGCCGCTTCTCGGAAACTCTATGGGGTGGTTCTACTCTGTCCTACACGGTTGCTATGAGTCAGAATCCACTCGATGGCAACGGGTTTGTGTCCTTCTGGTTTTTGCTAATTCCAACACACAGTGGAAACCGAGCCTCTCTTCCCCTAGCTTAGAGGTTCCCAGCAAGGCTCCAGTTAGAAAAAGGAAGAGGAGGCTGCATCTTCCCCGGGAGGCCGGCCACCCCTGCCGGGCCCCCCGCCCCCCGCCCCATCTGGCCCCGCCCCACTGCCTCCCCCAGCCCCGCCCCCAGTCTCACCTCGTGTAGGGCTCACAGCTGGTCTTGAGCAGGGACAGCAGGACCGGGTAGTGCTCGTTGCTGCAGTTGTCCAGGGCCTCCTGGTACAGGTATGAGAGTAGCTTCACGCCCTGCAGACACCAACAGCAAGCTGAGCGCACATGCCCTGAGCTGGTGCTGCTCAGCTCAGCAGGGCACCAAGAGGGGCCCCCCCAGCCCACCCTTCTCCCCAGCCTCTCCTCCCGGGGCCCCTCCGCCTCCTATTCCCCACCCGACCCCTCCTCCCGGGAGCCACGCGCGCTGTGCGGAGGCGCTCAATGAGGGGAGCCGCCCGCTTCGCAGCAGCAGACTCACAGTTGGGAACGCAGTCCTGGGCCCTCCGCCACCAGTCCCAGGGAGCCCGGTGCCGACACCACAGAGCTCGGCCAGGTACCTGGACCCAAAGGGCAGGTTCAGGCCGCTGAGCAGGTGCCCGGGGTCTCCCAGGGCTGAGCTGCTGCTACCTGCTGCCCGCCACCTGCTCCACACATCACACCTGTATCACCCTGACCCCGGGGCAGCACCTCCCTCCCGTGCAGTAGGAGTCCTCGACCTCACCCCCAGGGGGGAGCCCCTACACCTCCTGCCCGCCCCCCACACACACCTCCTGCCCCCTTGCCTTCCAGCCCAGGGACCAGCAGGCCTCACCTGAGCTGCCGGCCGAGCTTCTTGAAGAGAAAACCAATGGCCAGCAGGCTGAGGGTGGGCGGGGTGGAGAGCACACAGGCCCGGTAGTACTGCAGGTACCGCCTCACACCGCTAGTGAAGGCCTGTGGGCGAGGGTCTGAGAGGAGGGTGACCCCTGCCCAGCTGGGGTGAAAGGGACTGGGTTCTGTCCTCAACTCTGAGGTTCTGTTCTCCACGGTCAGGTCCAGACGTCCTGCCCTTTAGCAGGAGGCCTAAGGCATCCCCTGACCCCAGCGCAGAGGGCCAGTCCCCGGGGACACTGGGATTTAGGGTGGGAATTCTGGAGGGCAGCCAGGCTCTGCTGGCAGGTACCAGCTCTAGGAGATGCTGGGGCACTGGGGTGGCAAAGCCCCTCAGGGTGAGCCCACCCACCACCAAGACCTAGCTGTTCCTGTCCCGTCCTGCCCCCTGCCCCTCGCCCTGGTGGCCGTAGACCACCCAGGCACAGCCACGCCCCAGCCCCACTCCGACCCATTCTCCTTGAGGCTCCAATCTCATTGCGCACCCCCCACGCCCAGCAGGGGTGTGCCAGGGCTGGAAGGACACACAGGAGCCCAGCACCTGATCCCCTAACCTTCCCCTCGCCATGCTCCATCTGCTGGGGGCTTGGTTTGCACAGCCCCTGCCCCCGTGTCCGTCTGTCCTACAACTCCACCCTCTGTGTGTCATGCCGATGGGAGGGCGGCATACCTGAAACACGAGGCCTTTGCTGCACGTGGCGTCCAGCGCTGGCTGCAGAGAGAAGCGGCTCAGGCGCACGTAGTAGGTCCCGCACGCGGCCACCTCCGACAGGAGGCTGCGCATGCTCTCAGGGGATGTCCCCGACACGTACACACCTGGCTTCACCACGAAGGCCTGTGTCGGCTGCAGTGGGAGAGCAGGGTCAGGGCTGGCTCCCTCAGTGCCCCGACAGGAGCTCAGACCCCACACACGCAGACAGGACACAAAACGCAGAAAACACACCCAAAACCACAGAGACAGGCACGAGCAGACATCTTCAGACCCAACTAGAAGAGCCGTGTGTTTACAGCACCACGCCGGCTGTGGGGGGGTGTTGGGGACGGACAAGACGTGGACGGGAGAGTGGACAGACAGCCGGGGGGCGTGGACGGGAGGGCGGACAGACAGCCGGGGGGGCGCGGACGGGAGGGCGGACAGACAGCCGGGGGGCGTGGACGGGAGGGCGGACAGACAGCCGGGGGGCGTGGACGGGAGGGCGGACAGACAGCCTGGGGGCGTGGACGGGAGGGTGGACAGACAGCCTGGGGGCGTGAACGGGAGGCACAGCCCAGAGGCACAGGGCAAACGTTCAGACCGAGCTGTCAAGCCTGCAGTTCGCCTTCTGGGAAACAACAGAAGATTCACAGAAGGCCGTGACCACTCCCCACAAGGCCACTTACACCTGGAGACACAGAGACAACCTGGGGGGGCTGATGAGGATGCTCCCGACAGAGCCCCCAGGACAGGCCCCACACCGACCTAGAACTGCATGGGACCTGCCCAGTGTGACATGCACACACTCAGTGCGAGAGCAGCCACTAGGAAGGACCCTGAGACCCAGACGGACTGCAGAGCAGGGCAGTGCAGCGGGCAGGGGAGGACAGTGGGGAGGACAGTGGGCAGGGCAGTGGGCAGGGCAGGGCAGCGGGCAGGGCGGCTGCGACTCCAGGTGCAGCCCCCCCGTCATCGCAGCCAAGGAGGGCGGGGCCAGTGAGCCCTGCCCCTGTGGAGGAACGGGCCACTTGGAGGAAAGTGTGGGCGCAGCCAGGGCACAGGAGGGCAGGGACACCTCGGTAGTTCTGAGGATGGAGCAGGATGGGCTGGTGGCCAGTTTTTCCCCACGACACGCTATGCTCTTAAAAGAAGCTAACTGAATCAATAAACTCTAAAAACGAGATGAAATGGCCCTGGCAGGCCCCCCCAGTGCCGTGGCCCCTGGGCCAGCGGAGCGAGTTCTCCCAGGTGGCTGCCCGCAGGCTGGCGTCCAAGGCCACTGTCACTGCACTGCCTCTGCTCCCGGCTGAGACAAACACGCCCCTGTGGAGGGCTCAGGGCAGCATCGGGACCACCTTACCTGGCTGAGTGAGAATGTGGCAGACACAACCCCGATGAGAACGTTCAGCGCATCCTTCACCAGCTCACACTCTCGCACCAGGACGCGCTGCGGGGCCGGGAGGAGGCTGCCGCCGAGGACCTGCAACCCCTCTTCGCAGAGCCTGCAGAACCTGTCAAAGGCGTCTCTTCCCGCCTCGGTGAGGTAGGGCTCCTCTCTGTGGCCAGGGGGACTGCAGGAAATGGGGGGAAGTGCGTGGATGGGCGCCTCGGCTCCACGCACAGTCTCTTAAGAGAGACCCAAACCAGGGGAAGGGGCACGCTGAACCAACATGATGCTCGTCTAAAATGCTGGGTCAGTGAGGACCCCAAACCTGCAGTGCAGCCTCCCGCCACCTCCGTTAGGATCACCTCCTGGGTTCACACTGACCCCCAGGATAGCTGCAGATATGTCCAAAGAACACCCCCAGGGTTCCGAGCAGCGGGTACACCCCAGCCCGGCTCGGAAAAGTGAGCTGGGGGAGCAGCTGGGTCCTAGAGACGATGACACACCACAACACTGTCTTTATGTTGAAAGCACGCACAAGGGACACCGCACCCCACAAGGAGGATCAGAAAGACAGACGACAACAAGGTCGGCGAGGCTGTGGAAAAATTAGAACCCTCATCCATTGCTGGCGGGAACGTAAAATGGTGCAGCTGCTGTGGAGAACAGTTGGGTGGTTCCTCAAAAAGTTGAACGTGGAACTACCACATGACTCAGCAATCTACTCCCAGGTATATCCCCAGAGGTGGGCGCGTGAACGCAAACAGAATCCTGTACACCAGCGTTCACTGCAAGACTTTCCACAGTAGCCCAAGAGGTGAAAACCACAGAAATGTCCACCAACAGATGAACGGTTAAACAAAATGTGGTACGTACACACCACGGAATATCACTCAGCCATAAAGAGAAATGAGGTCCTAGTGCACGCCACAACGCAGAGGAACCCTGAGAGCATGCTGAGTGAAATAAGTCAGACACAAAACTACAAATACCGAATGATCTCACTCACACGTGATAGATAAACGTATAGAAACCAAAGCTTAATGGTTAGCAGGGGTTGGGGGGGAAACGAGGAGGCACTGCTTGGGGGCAGAACTTCTGCTAACGGGCGGTGGAAGAATTTGGAGAAGGAGAGTGGTAATGGCTGCACGACATGATGGGTGTGATAACGGCACCGAGCTGGACGCGCAGAACTCGCCGAGTCGGTGAGGGTTTCGTCATCTGCACTTTTACCACGATAAACAAATCAACAAAAGAGGGCAGCAGCTTGTGGGGCAGCTTAGAAATGGTGAAGGGCTGCCAGATGGCACACAGAAGGGACTGAAGACCAAATGGTGCCATTTACAGGGCAGTGCAGCCCCTCAGGGCCCAGAGCAGCTGCTGGACAGTGACAGAACCTTGCGGGGTGTGAGGCTGGCTGCCCTGGGGGACTTGCACAGAGGATGCGTTCCACGAGGGAAGCTGTCTGGCAGAGCAGTGCCCAGCACGCCCTATCTGCCCCTGAGTATGCTCGGGGGACCCTGCAGTAGCAGAACCACATCAGGGTCACTTAGCTCCTTGCTCAGCCATTCTTTAGCTTCGTGGGCCCAGACCACCTGCGGATCTGAAGTGAAAAGCTTTGGGAAAGGCACGTGCTCTGCCCCGTCCTGGGAGACTCCAGATGCCAGCACATTAGGGGCCCCGAGAGGGCAGAGAGGATGCTTCCTGAGCCCAAGCCCAGAGCCTTGCCTCCACTGCATTCAATCAGGCAACACTGCTGTGACTAGAACCTCTTACCAGCCAGAGTGCACCTCTCCACATTCTGCCAGATGGGAACAGAGGGAACAGGAAGAAAGTTCTGTCCCTGGCACCCCAGGCTCGGCTTTGTGCCTCTCGGGGCCACAGCCGACAGAAGGAGGCAAGACAAAACAGCCAGGCAGCCTCTCTGCCCTGCACTGAGGACACCACCTGCCCATCACCTTCTGCAGCCCCACCAGGAGCCCTCAGTGCCAACAGAATCACTGAAGAGCATGATCTGCAGAAGTTACTGGAGTCCCTGGGTGGTACAAATGGTGAACATGCCCAGCTGCTAACCAAACAGTTGGAGAATCAGCTCCACCCAGAGGCACCTCAGAAGAAAGGCCTGGCGATCCACTACTGAAAAATCAGCCACTGAAAACCCTACGGAGCACAGTTCTATTCTGACACACACGGGGTCGCCATGAGTCAGATGGAGCACAGCTCTACTCTGACACACACGGGGTCGCCAAGAGTCGGAGGTGATTCTAGAACAACTGGCCAGCTGGCACTGCAAGAACCTTAAAGCCTGCAAATCTTTTCTCCTTGAATCCCTTTTAAACTCCCAGGATTTAGACACAATCTTTATAAATTAGCTTGACTGGCCACCCCTGGGCCCACAAAGTAAGAACACGACACCCACCCACCCCCACTGAGAGAGGGAGAGGTTCACATACCACCCGACTCTCTCCCAGCAGCGCCGCCTGCTGGCCTCGTAGGTGAGCACGGCCTCCCACAGGTCCAGGTCCGGGGTCATGCTTGGTTCAGACTGGGAGTCAGGAGTCAAATTAGACGCTGACTGGAACCCTTCATCTTCCGACTGATCTGTGCTCTGAGGAACCTGGAGGCCACAGGAAAGAAGTCCATTCCACCGAGTGTGATCAGAACCCCAGTGATCTGTCCGTATGTTTCCATTTCCTCCTAGGGGGACGCCCTCACAGACGCTCCTAATACCTCCCTCAGACACAAGTACTACATAGTCTGTCCCCACAGAATCACTGGGGGAGCTAAACGGCTGTTTAAGGCTACTGATTCCCAGTTCACATAACACGTAAACCACCACGCAAATTTAACAAAACTTATGAAATTCCTTGGGCCTGGAAATTCCATTTTGGGGAAAATCCAACATAAGAAAATCACACTAAACAGGAAAACGTACGTGCGCTAAGATGTTCACTGTAGAAATATTTACGTTGGAAAACAATCTAAACGCCAGCAACGAGGGAATACCTGAGTAACAAGTGCATACCTTCGGTAACTTTTATAAAGCAGGAAAATAGAAAGGTTGGTGACGATTTACTTAATGACATTGGGAAGAGTTCATGCTCAGCTGAGAAAAGTGGATCAAAGTGCAGGTACAGCATGAACAAAACACTTTTTGCCACGTAGCTACTGAGCATCTGAAACGTGGCTGTGCGACTGAGGCGCTAAAATTACTTTTTAACTGAATTTTTTACTGAATTTAAATAGCAGCTCCAGAGTGAACAATAAGCGACTTAACACATCCTGTTGGGTAAAGGATTAAAGACACTGTGCTGCTTTGTGCTGAGGATGTGCGCCAGCAGCCGCAACTCACAACGGCACAGGCCAGCTGGTGACTGGGACTCAGCTACCCCACCTTTACCACAATACAAGAACACCAGACAGTGTTTCTGAGCCACTCGAGAGCTGAAGGCGGGAAAGCAGATACCGTACTTTAATGGCAAGTCCAGATAGGTCTGCGCTGTCTGGCACGGGGGGCAGGTCCAGCTGGACGTCCATGTCCAACGTGCGGCTGTGCACGAGGGCACCGAAGAGGGAGGCCCGGGTGTCTCTCTCAAACTTGTTCCAAGAGTCACCGTATGAGAAGCGTCCAAAGGTGAGCAGGCCGGTGCCGGGTGCGGCCTCCATCAGCTGAAGTGTTTTCTGAACCATATCGTGACACAAATACTCCTCTCTGGAGATCCTGGACTGAATGTCCATCTCAGACACACTCAAGTCATAGCAGTTGTAGCCGCTGTACGGAACATTTCTCCCAACGTGCTTGTTGTTAAAGAAGTAGTCCCGTTTTGGGGGCAGTACTTGAGGGGGACCACTCCCTGCGAGCTGAACCAGGAGGTCCAAAACAGACAACACTTCCACGAGCGGACACCAACGGGCAGCTTCGAGCTCCTCCACAAGGTCCTCCAAACGGTCTGCCTCCGGGCCCAGGCCACCCACTCTCAAGTTGAAGGACAGCATGAGGATCTTGTTTTTCACTGGGAGTTTAGAGAGGTCAGGCTGTAGCTTATGAGTCTCATCTTGAAAGAGATTTGTGAAAAGCATGTTGTAGGCCACCTTCTTGAGGCTCTGCTTTACCTTCCTCCGGTCCAGGCCGTGCTGGCCCAGGTGAGCCTTCGCGGCGGGCAGGTGGGCCTCGCACAGGTCATCAAACAGCTGGGTGATGCTGGCCATGCCGGCCCCTTCTCAGCTCCAGGCCCTCAGTATATGTGTAAACGTCTCACCCCTAGCTGCACTTCAGCCTCTGAAAAACAAGAAGAGGAGAGGGTCAGGGAGGGCTGATGACAGGCAGCCTAAGCCCCGAGGCGCAGAACCTGCATTCCGAGGGGAGGTCTGCGACTGTGGCCCGCCCAAGGCGGCCCTCCGCGCCCTGCCACCTCCACACCGCGTGCCCACAGAGCCCGCAGAGGGCCGGCTTGGCACTTTCCTTCTCACTTGGTGGTTCTTAACCTTTAGGCGGTCACACAACCTTGACAAATCCGAAGAACGACACATGTCCGTGGGTAGTACACAGCGTACTTACCCGGTTTTACGCACGTTCTCGGGGGCCCTAGCACCGAAACCGGGATCCCCTTAATGGGTGCGCCGGGGCCCCGCAAGCCAGGAAGGGAGTCTGGGGGAGGAGGCCTCGGGCAGCGTCCTCCGCGTGGAGAGGTCAGCGTTCCCGCGCCTGTCACGCGTCACTGCCACGCGACAGGAGAGACCGCTAGAACGGACGCGCCGGAAATGCGCCACCGGAGGGGGCGGTGCTCCGGGCGGAGGAGCCGGGCCCTAGGTGTGCCGTGGCCCCGCCCCTGCCTCTCGCGCGCTTCGGACTTGGAGCTGGGTTACCCGGTGGGGAGATAAGAGGCAGGACATAGGCCCAATTTTGAGCGGGTTTTAAGGTGTGCCTGACCCAAGCCATGGTATTTTCAATCGCCTCATGTACATGGACAATGAATAAGGAAGACCGAAGAACTGATGCCTTAAAGGTGGGAAGCTGGAAAAAGGAACGAAAGGAATTTTCCCCTCGAGCCTCCGGAAAAGAACGCAGCCCTGCGGACACCTTGATTTTCACCCCGTGAGCCTTGTGTCAATTCCTAACCTGCAGAAATGGTAAGACAATAAATTGGTGGGGCTTAAGCCACTAAGTTGGTAGTACTTTGTCGTGTGGCAGTCATAGAAAATGAATACAGTGCTCTTTAAATTTTCTAAGCAGCCTTAAGGTTTTGGAGTATGCATCTCGCACATAAATTGTAAAATTTATCCCTGAGTGTTAAAGTATTTTAATACTATTGTAAGCAGGTTTATTTTAAATTTCAAGTTTTTCACGATCTGCAGCGGGTATGGTGTTTTCAATCACCTCATCTGTGTGTGAAAGCTGGACAGTGAATACGAAGGACTGAAGAAGAACTGATGCCTTCGATTTATGTGTTGGCGAAAAATATTGACTATCCCATGGCCTGCCAGAAGAATGAACGAGTCTGTCTTGGAAGAACTCCAGCCAGAGTGCTCCTTAGAAGCACGGATGGCGAGACTTGCTCTCAGGTATTTTGGACATGTTATCAGAAGGGACCAGTTCCTGGAGAAGGACATCATGCTTAGTAAACTAGAGGGTCAGCGAAGAAGAGGAAGACCCTGGACGAGATGGATTGACACAGTGGCTGCAACAGTGGGCTCAAACACGTAGCAACGATTGTGAGGATGGCGCGGGACCGGGCAGTGTTTCATTTTGTTGTACGTGGGGTCACTGTGAGTTGGAACTGATTTGACAGCACCTAACAACAACATAGGCCCAGGAAAGGAGGCGGACTCACGCTTTCATTTAACTGATGTTTACTGAAGAGGGGAGGCAGAGGAGCCTGGTGTCCAGGTAGCTGCCAGAGGCCAGGTGACCCGTGGAGCCCCAGGTCTGGGTGGCTGGTCTGGAGTGTTAGCTTTGTGGTGCAAACGCTTCCCCCTCAGCTGATTTCAAGCTTCCAGGTGATGTCACTAAAGGAGGCGATGGGGAGAGATGCTCACAATCCGCACTCTCTGTCACTAGTCTGCACTGGCTCAAGCAGCTACCCGCCCCCCTAAAAGCCACAGGAGCTCCCCTCCCCATCAAGCCCCAGGGCAAGGCCAGCCCCTCACCAGCCACCTGCAGCATCCTCCACTTCGGCTCTAGCTGCCTTCTCAGGTGCTTCAGGGCCTGCACATCCTCGGGTGAGGCCACGGAGCAGGGGCCCAGGCTGGGGGCTGCCTCTCCATGCAGCGCCCGGGCCAGGGCTCCTACAAGCTGGGGTTTGGATTCCTGGGCCAGGGCGGTGGGGGAAGCAGTGAGTCACTGTCTTCCCCAGATGCCCACCCCACAGCATGAACTGCCCTGTATGACTTACCTGCACCAGGGCCAGGACTCGGCCCCCTCCTGGTCCCCGAAGCATCAAGACCAGAAGTGCACCATGGGTGTCCTGCAGGCCATGGGCTGGCCCCAGAGCCACCAGTACCAGGTGGGGCTGGAAGCCATAGGCCAGGGGCAGCACCAAGCCCAAGACACAGCTCAGGAGCCCCCCAGTCACCTGTGGGAGGGACAGAAGTGTGGCACCAGCCACGCATCCCAGAGGATGCCTTATCTCCCAAACTCAGGTCCCAGTGTGTGAGCAGCCACACGGACAGTCTCTCGGGAGCCAGGGACAATAGGTCTGGTCCCTATGACGATGCCAGTGGGCGTCAGCTGTGCGCCCACATAGGGTCCCCCATGCCCGCCCCAGCCCAGGGACGCTGCCGTTCACCTGTGGCAGCGGCACAGAGACGTGGAACATGGAAGGAGCTGCTGCCTCCTGGCCTCCGATGCTCAGCCACAGAATCCTCCTTCCAGAGGACGAGGAGCACATGAGAGACCCTGCTCACCCCCCAGAGCCCCCAGCAGGGCAAAGGTGGCAGGGGCACTGATGGGCCCAGGGGTACACGCAAACCCTTGGCAGTGGGGGCCTGGCCTGGCATTGTTCCTGGACGCTCCACCGAATGCCAGCTGCATCGGGTCCCCCCACCTCTACACCTCACAGTGCTCCACCCGCCTGTCATTCCTGGGGATCGGGTCACCCGCCTGCCACATGCCCACCCACACGAGTAACACACCTACCTGTCATCGGAGAGGTCTGGGGGCCGCTCCAGCTGTCCCACGGCCACGCAGAGCAGCCTGGAGGAAGAGCCAGGTGGGACAGGCTGCGCTCAGCCCCCTGGAGTCCCTCCCAGAGGGGCCCACAGCCCTGCTCTCAGAGGCTCCGCCCACAGCCCTGCCCTCAGAGGCTCCGCCCACAGCCCTGCCCTCAGAGGCTCCGCCCACACCCCTGCCCTCAGAGGCTCCGCCCACACCCCTGCCCTCAGAGGCTCCGCCCATACCCCTGATTTCGAAGCTCCACCTGGCCAGGGCCTCACCTCTGGGCCCCGAGGTGTAGACCACGCCTGATGGCAACGTCCAGGGTGGCAGCAGTGGCAAGGGCAGGTGTGGCGGTGATGCCGCTGCTCACCTGGGGAACAGATGGCAGCAGGGGCTGGTCAGGAGGCAGCCAACTCCCAAACCAGGTACACAGACCGCCTGTCCCTCTTAGCACCTGTTTACATGGCTGGCACAGGACCACCTTGATACTCTGAGATCAAAGCACCCTCTTTTTGTAAACAAGATGCTTAAAACACACTTAACATTGTTCTCACCTCCCTGCCAGAGAGCATGTGGTTATGGGGCAAGCAGGGAGAATACTCACCCCTGGGTGGTCTGTACCACCAGCCCATGGGCTCTGCCCAGCCACCCTCCCCACGGGCTGGCCCTGCCGGCCCCACCCGGGCACACCCACCTGCCCATCCAGGATCCTGTCCACGAGGTTCAGGACCTTCCCGAGCGCAGTGAGGGCCCCATCCTGGGCCAGGGCCGCATGGGGCCTGTGGTGACGAACCAGAGGGACACATGGACACAAGTGACACACAGATACACACCACACGGGAGTCACACACAGGTGCAGCCACCAACACGGCCCGCCCCTCCCCAGGCCCACCCTGCCCACCTGGCCCAGGCCTCCGTCTCCTCCCTCGGGGCTGACCCCTCCTGATGGAGGACACCAGAGGGCAGGACCAGGGCAGTGTCTGCTGACGTCAAGGCAACAGCTGTGCGGACTGGCGGCGGGGGCTGGAGGCGTAGCCGGTCCAGGAGGGAGCTCAGCGCTACCGCTGCTTCGGCCGCTTCAGCGGCTGCTGCCTCCATGTACGCAGGACCCCCAGGCAGCAGGGGCCTCCCCTCTGGGGAGCAGGCGCTGGGACTCAGCACGGGACCCATGTCTGTGTGTGGTTCAGAGTCATGGCAGCTGCTCACCCGACCGTGTGGGGGCTCCAATACCCCCGCCCACACCCTGACCACACTGACCCTGGTGCTGCAGGCTTGTCCAGTAAGGGGCCTGGGCCGCCCGGACCCGCTGGATGGACTCCAGGGCACTGCAGGGAGAACCGAGTGATGAGGCCAGCACCTCACTCACCCAGCACCCTCTCCCTCCAGGCCTTCCCTCTGGCCCCCCTCCAGCACCCTCTCCCTCCAGGCCTTCCCTCTGGCCCCCCTCCAGCACCCTCTCCCTCCAGCTGCCTTCCCTCTGGCCCCCCGCCAGCCCCCTCTCCCTCCAGCTCCCCTGTAGCCCCTCCAGCCCCCTACCTCCAGCACCCCCTCCAGTCGCCCTCCTTTCGGTCCCCCTCTCCAGCCACACCTCTGGCCTCCTCTCTCCAGACCCTCTCCTCCGTCTGGCCCCTCCAGCGCCTCTCCAGCCCCCTCTCCCTCCAGCCCCGCTCTGCTCCCCCCCAGCCCCCTACCTCCGGCCTCCCCTCCAGCCTCCCCAGCACCTCGTACCTCTCACAGGGCACCATGGTCCCCGACAGAGGCGGGGCGGGATCGCCCAGCAGTGCCTGCACCATCATGCATACTGACTCTGCAAGTGACTCAAGGTGGTAGCCGCCCTGGGAGGAGGGTGGAGGCGTGGCTAGGCAGAGGGCATAGCCAGGGAGGGGGCGATGGTGGGGAAGGCCCCCACCCTGCAGCTCCCTGTCCTAGCCAGGTTGCCTAATCCCCCATGGCAGGCCACTCTGACCACACCTCGAGGCCTGGCTCCTGGGCTTTCGGGCTTCATCCCCCTAGCTCCTAACCCAGGGACCCTCTCTGCCCGGCTGCAGTCACCCTGAGCCCCCAGCCCCAGGACCCTTCCTGCCCAGAAGTGGTCACCCACAGCCCCCAGCCCTGGGACCCTCCGTGCCTGGCAGTGGTCATTCCCTGAACCCCTGGCCCTGGGACCCTCCCTGCCCAGCCACAGTCACCTCCAGGACAGCGCAGACCCGGCCACCGGCCAGCACCTGCAGCAGCTGTGTGAGATGGGCAAAGCACTCTGGCGTCGCCCGCATATGCCCCTGAAACAGAGCAGGGACATGAGAGGCCTGGGTCCCAGGACCCCGGAGGCCTCCCACCAGGCCAGGCTCTCACCTCCGGGTCCCCAATGGCCGAGTCGAAGCCGGCGGCGACCAGCACCAACTCAGGGTCAAACTGCGGGTGGGGCCAAGTTGGAGGAAGCAAGAAATAGGCTGGAGCTAGGGTGGGAGCTGCCTGTCCCCCTGTCACCTGTCCCCTCCAGTGGGAGACCCTCGCATCCACCCCCACCTGTCGGTGCACACACTGACGCAAGTGGCTGCGTCCCTGCTTCTGTGGCCCCCCCACCCCGTCTTCACAGTGGAACTCACCCAACCAAGTCCCCTCCCAGCCCTCTTGCCACCCCCCCACCCCCATTCCCATCCCCGTCCCCACACAGTCACCTCAAATGCCAGGGGGAGAAGCACATGCAGGAAAGCCGCGACGTAGTCAGCGTTTCCCATCCCCACCTACAGCCACAGGGGTCAGCAACAGCCACTGCCCGCCAACCACAGGGTCCTGTGGCCAAACCCGGGGCCCTGGCTCCAGGGTGGGGCCTGGGGGGAAGCCGAAGGCTGCGCTCAGGGGGCCCAGACTAAGGGGTGGGGGATGCCAGTGGGGGAGACCATGGGGTGTCGACCTGGGGTGGGGGCCTGGATATGGACCTAGGTGGGGGCCTGGGGTGGGGGCCTAAGGTCAGAGCCTGGGGGCAAGGTGGCACCTGGTTCCAGGGCAGGTTGACAGTGAAGCCGTGACCACGGCCCCGGCCAACCTCGTCTGCATCTGACTCTCGCAGGAAGGGCCAGAAGCGCCCATGCTCATAGCGGTGCCAGGAGAAGTAGAGGACACTGTGGACAGCGGGCTGGGGTCAGAGACCAGGGTCTGAAGTCAGGCCCCTCAGCCCACAGCTCCTCCAGAACCCTGACTCTGAGGACACAGCCACGCATCTCCCTCAGATTTTCCCAGGCCAGGCTGTGCTTTCCCTGGAGCGGGATCCCAGGGAAGGGTCGTGTCCCCCCAAGCTCACCTGGGGTCATCCTCGAAGATGTACTGGATGCCCTGGCCGTGGTGGACATCCCAGTCGACAATGAGGATCCTGGGGACAAGGGTGGGGTCACTGAGGTGTGGGGCCTCCCCTGTCCAGTCCAGGAGCCCAGTGGGGCTGGGAAGGGGCTGGATGGAGTGCCCCCTCACCCCCACACACCTGTACACACCTGTGTAGCCCGTGTTTTTGTTTGGCGTGCTCAGCCGCTATAGCCACATTGTTGAACACACAGAACCCATTGGCGGCCGTCCGCTGGCTGTGGTGGCCAGGAGGCCTGGGGATAGGGGGGTGCTCATGGTCATCCTGGACCCTACAGGTGGGAGGCCAGGCAGAGGGGTGCAGCCCTCACCTCACGAGAGCGAGCCCGTTGCGCGCGGCCCCCGTCAGCACAGCGTCCACCAGCTGCAGTGCAGCCCCTGCAGCCAGCCGGGCACAGTGAAAGGTACTCTGTGGGGTGGGGGTGTCAGATGAGCCCCGTGACGGGCAGTGGCATTGAGCAGGGTGTGTGGGGCTTGGTGAGAGCAGGAACCGAGGGGGCACTGGCTGGGGCTGCCAGCTGTGGTATGAACACGCCATGGGCTGATGTGGGTGTGTGTCTGGGTGGGTTGGGGGGTGGGTTGAGGGGTACCCACCGGGTGGAAGTAGACCGAGTCGTACTGTCCAGACAGTGCCTGGAGCTCCCCTGTGCCCAGGGCCTGGGTCCCCCGCACCACGGCCACGTACTCTGGGCTGTGGGGGGGTGGGCAGGCAAGGCAGGGTCATTGGTGGGAGCAGGGAGAGGCAGGTGGGGTGGGGAGTGGGGGGGACTCCTGGTGGACTGTCCATCCCCTTTCTCCCTCCAGCCCTTGACCACTCACCCACTGTCCCGACCACCCACTGTCCCCACGGGGAAGCCAAGGGGGTGGGGGAGAAGCACTGCCTTGGGTGCACCACCGAGCTCTGTGGAGGCCAGGCCCCCGGGGACGGCTGTGGTGTGGGCGCCGACTGTCCTGGGGTGCAAGGGGTGCCTCCTCTGGGGTCTGACCTGTGCACCAGGCCTAGCTCCGCCTCTGAGGCCTCGCGCGCCTCCAGCCGCAAGCACCTCTGTTCCAGACCACGCTGCTGCAGGCGCTTCAGGGTTGCAGTCAACCGCTCAGGACACTCTATCTCGCACTCGGGGCTGATGGGGGGGAACACAGTGTCCAGAGCCCCTCCCGCCCCACCTCCCACCCCTGCCAGGTCACACTTACTAGTCCCAGAGGAGACGGGCGACCGTCATGTCCTCGTGGTACACGAGCGCCGTCCCCATGGTCTGGCTGTGGTCACGTCGAGCCGCCCTGGGCGGGACAGAACCCAAACGCCACCCGTCCCGCAGGTGACTGCCCTGCCCGTTCCCCCACTGCAGCTCCGGGGAGAGCGCAAAGCCTGAGACCCGCCGGTGACAGGGCCTGGAAGGAGGGCACGCAGAACCTAGGCCGCGGACCGAGGTCCCAGGCACGCGCACGCCACCGCCACCGCCTGGGCCCCAAAGCAGGCGCCGAAATGTGGCCAGGACCGGTAGGAGTGTCTCTCAGGGCGGAGCTTCCGAATCCCAACGACTGGACCCGGGACCCGGGACCCGTCCCGCCCCCCAGCCCCGCCCCGCCGCCCAGAGGAGTCTTCCTTCCCCGGCTCCGCCCCCACGCCCGCCCCTTCCCGCCCCGCCCTCCCTCGGTTTCAGTTGCTGTTCCACCTCCTCCTCCGGCCTGGGACCTGGGTGGGTCATTGCCCTCAGGGCCCCACCTACGAGAAGGGAGGAGCGACGGGCGTGAGGACTGGTGGGGACATTACCTGCCTTCCCGCGGACCTTATCTGTATGCCCGGGGACCGAGACTTCTCCCCATTGCCCTGCCCACTCGTGCTCCCTTCTGCCCCCACATTTGGCTGAGTCCACCCTGAGAGGCCACAGGGTCAGGCGGGTCAGCAGCCTGCGAGCAGCTAGTGCGGCCCCAGGGGAAGAGCTGCGACTGCGGGGACCGCAGAGCAAAAGCTTCGAGCAGAGGAGAGCACATGGGGCGCAGGGCATGCGCGAGGACGACCGCGCGGCCGCAGAGAGAAGACTGAGGGCCGGTGGTCGTGGCTCAGCAAGGCCCGGGCTTCGTGCACACGCCGCCGGGCCCCGAGGCTTCAGAGAGGAGTGACAAGGTCTGACGTAAGCTCCAGGAAGACACCTTACGGAGGAGCCGACAAGGGGCTAGGCAGAGTGGTGTAAGAGGCCCGGGTGCAGTGAAGCGGAACAAACAGCGCGAGGAATGAATGAATGAATGGGGACAGCAGAGGACGAGGACCTGGCCTACCGACAGAGCAAGAAGACCAGAGAAAAAGGAGGAAACCAGGAGTGGCGGGCATGAAACCCGGAGGCGCTGGGAAGGGAGAGAGGCTGCTTTAAGAGCGGTCTTTCGGGGCGGAGCCTGGGTCTATGGAGGCGGGGTCCTGGGAATGGCCCTCTGGATTCGGGGCCTTGGAAGCAGGGGAGCTAGGCGCGGTCTCCGTGGGTTGAGCCCTAGGTAGTCACAGGCAGTGTGTTTCTGCGAGCGGGGGTCCCGTGAGTACATCTCTGGGGGCGGAGGCCCGGAGGCACGGGTCTTGGGGCGGGACTGTACCGCCTGCCCCACTGGGTGCCCTGACCCCTGATTGACCCTTATGCCCCCTAGTCCCGTTTCTCCGGTCAGTGCTAGCTGCGCAAGGATGATCCCACGGTGGGACGAATGCAGAACTCCGTCCCTCAGCGCCAGGGCCGGCACGGGCTCTAGAAAGGTCCCGACACCCCCGCCGGCGCCCACCCTCCGCCCGCCTCGAGAGTCTCCGATTGGGCCATTTGAGTCAGGTGGCCGCTCCCGAGCCAATCACAGGGATAGGGGAATGGCGCACTCTCATTGGCCGTCTTGGATATCTCGGGGGCGGGGAAGGGGGCGGGGCCGCTGTGGAGCGGCGGGGCGGGGCTTGTCCCGGAGGCGCGGCAGAGCTCGTGTTCGGCACCTTCTCCGTCCAGCCGAGCTCTCAGCCGGGAAAGGAAGGGACACCTGTGACTGCCCTTCCCCTCAACGTCTATCCCAGCTGTGACCTGGCCGCTCTATGGACGCACTTGCTCGTGGGATCAGGTGGAGAGGCGCGAGGGCTGCCTGAGGGGCCCACGCGTGGGCTCCGGTCCCGCTGGGCCTGGGCGACACCGAATGGTCGGCAGAGGGCAGCAGGGGCTCACGATGCGGCGGGGCGGGGCAGGGCGGGACGGGGTGGGGGAAGGGGCAGGAGGTTTTGTAGGAGGGAACAGAACCCACCTGGCCCAGAGGAGCCTGAGGGCGTCTAGCGTGTCCCCCTCCCTCCCCAAGAACTTCTTGGCCTGGGGACTCTGATGGCGGGAATGGAGCCCCAGGTTGGGTCCTAAACCCCCGCTCAGGTCCTGCCCCAGGGACCACACACTACAACTGGGACCCTTAGCCTTAGAGAGGTCCCCCATAAGGGCGGCAGGGGCCAAGCCCTAAGGTGGGGGCTCCAGGCTGGGGTTCACAGGCCAAGGGCTAGGGGAGGCAGGCACCAACTTTGTGTGTGTGTGTGGCGGGGGGGTATGCGCTCAGGAGCTCCGCCCACCAGTCAGGACGGCTGCACCAGTGGACCACTCACTGGACAGTGGAACCCGGGGTCTTGAAGACCAGCCTCCCCTATGCAGGGCACCACTCAGAGGCAAGGCCAGGATGGGAGATCTACAAAAGGGTTTATTTCCTTCCAGCCACGTGGGTACAGGCCACAGGGCAGGTTACATTCAAGGCTGGGGATCAAAGAACCCCCGTGGAGAGATGGTGTCCCTGAGTCAGCACCTGCACTCTCCCTCTGTCTCCTCATATTGGTGACAAGGGCTGGGCCTCGGGCATGACCCAAGCCCCACCAGAAAGTCCAGACACTCCTCTGAGGTCAGGCTGAGGTGGGTGCCTGAGAACAGAACAGGCTTGGGGGAGAAGGAGTATCCATGAAATAAGGGGGTCTACTCTGAACCCCTCCAAGGAAATGCCCTGGGATAGAAGCCCAGCCAAGGCCAAGGCAGCAACCAGGATTCCCCTCCAGGTGGAAGGCTAAGCTGTGAAGCCTCCAGCCAGGGTCCCCACAGCGTGTCCACCTCTGCCCCTGGGCCCAGAGGTCTTCACAGAGATGTCTCCTTGGAGACCCTGGACCCCAGCTGCTGGGGAGGCTTGAAGCTGAGCACCTCTTTATAGGTGACACCTGGGGAGAGGTGACAGAGAATCAAGATCAGCTCACAGTCACCCAGACTCAACAGAGACATGCTTGCCCCACCAGCCCAGCTGATGATCCATATGCCCCACCCTACCCCACCCTGCTAAGAGATCCACTCAGGGTGTTGGGTGAGCACCCAGACCCAGAGCACAGGTTTGTCAGCCAATGACCTAGGAACCCACCATACCCCAAAAACATCAGGGTCAGAGGTCAGGGGTGGAGGGAGAGGTGCAACTTTGTCCCACACCTGCAATTTCATCCCAGGTTATGCCCAGAACCATTCCTCCTGTAACCCAAACCACAATGCCATCAGAGCAGCCGGGCGGGCCTTGGCTGCAGGCCCGGGGAACTGAGATTGTCCTAGGAATATAGCCAAATGCTTTCTCCAGGTCCAGCTGCTCAGGGCCCCACCAGGGCACACCCGATTCCTGGGGCGGTGTATGCAGGAAGCTGTAGATGAGACTGAGTTCCACCAATGACCTGGAGCATCCACCTTCTTGTTCGGTTCTCTGAGCTCTATGCCCCAGAGCAGGTCATCCCAAATGAGGGAGAGAAGGGCTGGGGAAGTGCTGGCCCCTGGGGCCTGCTCTGCTTCCCTCTGCCCTCCCCAGCCCGTGTTCCCACACTCATCTGGCCAGGGGAACGCTTGTCGGGGGGACACAGGTATTACACACAAACCCCATGGAAGAGACACTATGTGTGGTTTGTGTGGCTTTGCTCTGTGTGTTCGTGTACCCCCAGCCCATAGGGTGACTCCATAGGCTGGTTTACCTAACCCTAACCCGGGGCGTGTCCGCATAGGGAAACTGTGTATGAAGAGACGATTGCTCTAAAGCTGGCTTTTCCCAGGGAAACAGCAGGTAACAAGGTCCGTGCTCCTGACCAGGGGCTGGGCCACAAATGGGCCGTGGGTCCACCATGGTCTGTTACGAGAGCAAAAGCTCCAGGCCACAGATTCTTTGTGGGTGGGGACCAGAGATAGTCTTGTGGTCCGTGGTTTCAAGGTATCCCTTTTAGCATTGGAAGCCTTTCACCAAACAAAACCAAACCCATAAGCACAAAACAGCGCAGATAAAGGCGGAGCCTGCTGGGGGCACCCTGTGGCCCCAGGGACACAGTTAGACCTTGGACCCAGCCAGCCACCCAACCCTGTGTGCAGGTCCGAGGGCTGGGCTTCAGGCAGGGCCAGGACCCGGCCTGGAAACAGTCAACACCCTGCGGGGCCGACCTGCTGTCTGCAGATGCCCCTGTCCCCCACCACCGGCCCAGTTCTGCGTCCACCGAGGGTAGTCAGCAAGGCCAGCTGCCCTGGCATGGGTCCCAGGGCCACAGGGGAAGGAAACCTGGGAGGCGTCCCTGAGCCCAGCCAGAGGCTGAGCAGGAGTTGGCTGCCCTCCGCGGTGAGGGGAGGGGCTCTTGGTGCAAAGGGGACCCCTGCACAAAGCCCTGGAGAGGCAGATCATGGCGGGGTCCGGTGGGGGGTGGCTGGGCAAGCAGCTGAGGGGGCGAGATCTAAGAGTGTGCAGGGCAGGGGATTGGTGGTCCAGTGGGAGGGGTCCTGAGATGGGCAAGGGGAGGTGAGGATGCATTCAAGAGGTGTGAGCAGACAGCCCTGGAGAAAGTTCCTGAGTAACCCAGATCTCTGGCCTGGACATGGGGGAGGAGCGTGGGGCTGGGACTGGCTGAGCTCACAGCCTCCCTGAGCTCAGAGTTTCCACTGCCAAGCCTTTGTTTGTGCCGAGCTAGCTGCCTGGTGCTCGTGCTCAGCTTCAGCTCCCAAGTGGAGGTCACCTCCACAGGAGGCCCAGGCCAGGCTATACCGACCTGCACCTCCCCCACCTCCTGCCCTGCCGACTCACGCTTCCACTCGTCCAGAGTGCGCTTCACGTCATCAAAGGAGTTGTCGTACTTCTGGGCCTTGGGCTCATCTTCCGCCTCGTGCAGGGCCTCAAAGTAGGGGTGGGCCAGCGCCTCGGCCGCTGTCACCCGCTGCTCCGCGTCCAGCACCAGCATCTTCTCCAGGAGGTTCACAGCTGGCGGGGGCGAGATGGGCTCAGGCCATGCTGTGCACCCCCGCCGAGGACCCCATGCCACCCCAGGCCAGCCCTACCCAGGGGACTGGCGTTGGTCAGGATGGATGCAAAGTCCTTCTTCTCCAGTTCAGGAAGGCCTTTCATGTAGTTCTTGGCCTGTGGGAGCAGCTGGGTGAGGGGCAGGCCCCCGGGTTCTGCCCCCACCCCCGCCCCCAGCTCCAACTGACATCGGTACTCTGCAGCCCCTGCACAAATTCGGCCGGGGGCGTCCCCGTCACCTTCAGGATCTCTTTCAGCTGATCCAGGTCTGCCTCCAGCTCAGGAGCACAGTGCAGGGACCAAGGGTGGGTGGACTCCCGACCCACCCCGCCCAGGTAGCCTCCCAGACCCCCTCCCTGGACACCTAGGGGACCCGCGCCTAGCCCCGTGGCCCAGAGGGAGGATACGGTCATTGCCCTTAAACAGCGTCTTCCCCGAGATCATCTCGGCCATGATGCAGCCCACCGACCAAACGTCGACTGAAACAGAAGCCCCCGCCTTGATCAGACGCTCCCCAGGACTGGGGGTAGGGGAGAAGGGGAGGGGACACAGACCCACCACACCCACCCTGCCGCAGCTCGCAGCCTCCCTGGGAGCAGCCCCCACCCAGGGACCCAGCCCCCAGCCCCTCACCCGTCTGCGTGTAGTGTCTCCAGTTCAGGATGACTTCCGGTGCTCGGTACCACCGGGTCACCACGTACCCGGTCATCTCGCTGTCCGCCTGCCTGGCCAGGCCAAAGTCCAGGATCTGCGGGAGGAATCTTGGAATGGGGAATCCACAGGGATCCCCGGGGGAATGGGTGGGGCAAGCTTGGGACTTGTCTCGGCTGCCTGTGGAGACCCCAGGGGACAGGGCACAAAGCCTCCATGCTGGGGTCTCCTGCCAAACTTCTGGGTCCTAAGGGGGTGTTCCGAGAGGTCTCTACTTTCCCTGCTGCTGATATCTTTGGGGAGTCCTCCTTGGTCCCACCCTGGCATAAGAGGCGCCTCCCTGCCCTTCACTGAAAGTACGTGAGGGTACCTGATGCCACCCCTTTGGGCCACCCTCTGCCTGATGCTGCCCCCCACTGCCTCCCCAGGACCCATGTGTCCATCATCTGCTCCACCACTGCCCTGGGACGGCCCATCACCAGGGACTCCTGCGCCCCCGCCCCTCACCAGTCTCCCAGAAGGCAGCCAAGCCCCACCCCCCAACACACACACCTTCAGCTCGCAGTCTTCATTCACCGCCAGGTTGCTGGGCTTCAGGTCCTGAAGGCAGAGAAAGGTGGCCACTTTGGCCCCACTGGACGGGCTGGGCATAGGCAGTGTGGACAAGGCCACCAAGGGCCCCAGCACCACCTGAAGGCAGGGCAACCAGCCCCTCCCCCTGCAGCCCTTCAAGGAAGCAGGGAGGGTTGGGGGGGTGGTGGTACACACCCCCTATGAGGGAGAAGGGAGCTCAGGGTGGGGCACCCCTCACACACCCACCCCCTCCAGGACTCACCCTGTGGATGATGCCAGCACCATGGATGTACTGCGAGGACAGTAAGAGGATCAGGGCGGCACAGAATTTGGCAGAGGGGTCCTGCTCCTTCGCGCGGCCCTGCCCCTCCCACCCTC